CCAGTCCTACCACCTCTGCCTCCCTTGTCACCCCTAAGGGTCCATCCAGACTAAGATGAATGATTACTGTATACTATCTTTTCAGTTGTTCAGTTGGCATACAAAAATTTGTTCCCTCTGCCCTCCACTATAAATCTGCTCTGCAAACATAAAATTAATATTTAACTTTATGTACTAAGACTTAGGGCTTTTTTTTCTAATTAAAACTGTCTTTTTTTGGGCTGAGTGTTGCAGCATCTCAGTCAATGTCAGGATAAGACTGTACAAGATACCACAATTCTTGTGAAAGGCTGGTTTTCTTACTTGAAACTTATGAGCAGAAATGCCTCATCAATTTAGCAGATCTGCACTCTTACAGTATCTCACAAGTATCAAACTTGGGTTCTTGAAGAAGAAGCTGTAGTGGCAGAGAATGAAGACTCTATGAAGACAATATTACTGGTGAAACTAGCAGAGGTCTGATGCATCAAACATTGCTTGCAGGCTGGAAGGTACAAATCCCGAAAGGCCCTGACTTTATATTGGGTATAAAGTTCAAATATCACTATTTTTTACCTTTAATTTCCATGAAAACAAAGATTGAGTGCAAAGCACAGTCAGGTTCCCAGGCAAAGTCACCTAAATTACTCCTGTTTCTTGCTAGAATACATTAGGACAAGAGATGTTTGCCTCACCAGGCCTCCACAGTTCATTTGGATACTAGTGTATTTTGTTCCAAATCTCTTTGGTATACACACTGACTATACTTCCGCTTACACAGTGAGAGCACTCCTTTGGTCCTCAAGCCATGAAAACTGTAAAGTAGTGGGTAATAAGCTGAAGAGCTGGAAGGCAACACTTTGTGAAATGAAATGATGAACATAAACAGGAAAAAATAGTGCAATGAGTAAATCAAAATGATTGGCAGAAATCATGAATTTTCTGTATTTTGCATCATTCCCCAATAGAAAATTTTGTGTTACTACTGTACTGAGGCTTGCACAAGGCCTCACCTCTAGAAAGTGAACTGAAATTGTAAGTGGAGGTTGATTTTAATATCCAAAAATTAACACTAAACCAAGAACTCTGATCTTAGGACAACATGGAAGGAGGACTAAACCTTAGCAGGCCTCTACTTTTTCAGGACTCTCTAGTACTTGTTGAACTAGCATTAAAAAAAACCCAAATATCTGTTCTTGTATCTCAATTCTTTTGGGTATCCCAAAATGGATCACAAGGGACATCTTATGCCAGCTTTCTGACAGCTACTTGGCACAGCAGTAAACTCTCATTGGTTTCTGAATAAAACATGTGCCTATCCTGTAGTTCTCAAACTCTCCACATTATGTCAAGTACTTCAGATTTAATGGAAAATGTTAACTGCACTCTGCCTGCTTGCCAAGGCTTAAGCTAGTTAAGGCTTTAATTAAATTTTTAGGTGTTATTTATTTATTTATTTGTATTTCAGTTGAAGCTATCCTTTAGAAATACCCTTTCTGAAAGACAGCGTTGTTGAGAGTCTGTACGTGGTCGAGGAAAATAGGGTGATTGCCTTGTAATAGCACAACACAGGAAAAAGCAGCACCCAAGCCTGAATGAAAAATATCTTGATTTTCTTTTTAATAACGTGGCCATAGATACTAGGTTGTTGGCCAAATATTCAAGTCTTACAATTACCAGTTTAACTATAAAAAATAAGCAGATTTATTTATTCAGAGTTATTCTAACTGCAAAACAGGATGTCCCTCAAGGTGTCTTGACCTTTGGCAATACCTTAAATAAACAGTTCTTTCATACTTGAGTTACTGGATGGAATTATGCAAGCACATCTGTCATGATGTATTCAACTAAGTCAAAGCATAGCACAAACAGGATTTATAATATTTAATTAATACTTAGAGACTTCTGAGGTTTTAAAGCCTTTGCATAGCAAACCCCTTACAAAGACGTATGAAACTGGGTATAGTTTGTGTTAGTTTTTGGCTTTCTTTAAAGGAGGAAATGCAGGTGGACTGGGACAGAGTGAATGACACTTGGTAGGACAATGAGAATGGGTATTTGATGCTGTCAGCAGTAGAATACAGAGGACAGAAGCTGGGAAGGTCAGTCTGAGGAAAGATGGTGAAAGTGGGGGTCATAGAAGTCTACAACATTAATCTTCATGGCAGCAAACAGCACCTCAGGTAAATGAAATACTGAACATTAGAGTCAGTGGCTCACAGCAATGCAAGTTATTTAAAAATTGGGTGACAGCAGAAAAAAGGAAGAAGTGTTAATTAAGGACTTGACATTCAACAGTTATTTCTAAATTAAGTTTAGGTTGTATGTATTTTTCCTAAAAAATTAAACAATACATACTGTCATGTAAGCAGAGTGGAATGGTTAGGGAATTAAATTCAGAGAGGAACTAATTTCTTCATTCTGCCGTCTGGAAGACCGTTGTCTACACAGCTGTAATTCCCTGAAGTTTTATTTTGTCTCTAGACCTGCACAATCATGCTCAGACTTTTCCAGATGGTACTCAAATATTCTTTCGTATTAATCGATTTGATTGGACTCCGGAGGAGTCAGTTGTTTCTCCAGTTCTGTGCTTACACTGTGCATCGCTATGATTTGAGAAACCCTGGACAGGGTCCCTTATTCCCCACATTACTTACTCTACATGCCATTACCTACTCTAGTACCATCTTTTATTTGGGATGTGTTCTCAGTTAAACTTTTTATCACTGGTTTATCATAAATTGAAGCAAAAACTTCACCAAAGTTACCAAGAATCCCTATTTTGTTCCTGTCCCTTTTCCATTACTACTGATAACTAAAACAGAACTCTGCACAATCAAGTCCCCACAGAGCTAAAGATACCCTTCTGTAGATAGAGATCAAAACAGATTGCTCCATGCTTGGGGTAAGTGGAACTAGGCAGAGTTGTAACTCAGTCATAATCCCCTTCCTGACATACTCCCTGGGTATTACAGCAGTACATGGCCCACTTTCAGGACGTATAAATTCACCACATCACCCTTAATAATTGCTATGGGCCTTTGTGATTTGCTCTGTCATTTTATAAATAAGAACAAACCCACAGTGCCCTGATAACTGAATCAGCATTTATAACTTTGATCCTATTTTCAGTGTAGTATGTATGATAATCTCTTGGTACTGCTTCAATTTCACACAGTGCTGCAGTATTTCACTTTCTGTGTTGTGCATGTATGAAATACTGGAGAGGTAGCTGGCCTCCAGCAAGAATAAATGTCATTTGTACTCTGAAAGGCACTTTCTGAAAAAAGTGTATTTGAAACATCATTTAATGTGATAGGATATACCAGCAAAATGAAGATTTCAATAAATTTCAAGGGATGTTACTTCCTTGGATATTTTCAGTTGCACAAAAATTCTCCTCCAGAATATATTAGTAACTCTACATAACCCTAGTCTAAATTTCATGGTTTCCTTCAATAAATATTTGGACTTAAAACCTGCTGCAAAATAAATGTTTTCTAACAGGCAGGGGTCAGAAAATTACTAGAGTCCATTGGCTACTGGTCCTTCTGTCAGTGATATTCTTTGCTTTTAGCAGTGATTTAAAAAATTATATTAATACGCTTATGGTAAATTTTGTATGTGAATCCTGGAAAATAAAAAAAAGAAGCAGAAGGGTCTGGTGCTGTTTGAGTATCATGATCCAGTCAGATATATTCCAGTATAATTAAATACAATGTATCTGAAAAATAACTGTTTTTATAGAATGAATGTCTTAAAAAACTCCCTCACAGTTTACTTCTATGCTATTGCATAGTTCGCTATCTCAGTGTGAACTCTTCCTGCAATGTCTTGCTAAACAGGCAAGTAAATTCTTTACACTGTTAAGGAGTGGTGTCAAATGAAAGTAGGAAAGCACTTGTACCTCTATACATAGTACTAGTAAAAATCAGTGCTAGAATGTATTTCTAGAATGGCCCCAAGAAAACAACTAAACACTGAGAAAATGCAGAATAGAAGCCTGTAATTATTAAGTGATTATAAAACAAACATAAAACAAGCTTGTGATGTTGGGCTGATCAGGCTTAACTATTCTGTTTATTCAAGATGCTGAAACATGACCTAATCACAGTATATAGTTATTTGCACATGAAAAAGACGTTGTAGGAAAGACTTAACAAGGCTTAATGGCTACAGGAAGAAAAAGGAGAAATCCAGCATGGAAGTAATCCTGAAGTGTATGTAAGCAAGTATCAAAACAGCCTACTGCAGGAGATTATAAACTCAGTTCTATGCCATCTTCATGACAAGATTGTGTACTGTCAAAGCTCTGAAATCTGTTACTGCATGAGCATCTCTCTATTACCACTTAAAGAATATTTATACTTAATGGGCTGTTTCAACTTGTCAATTCCTCTTAAGTAAGAGGGATCTATAAAAGCATAAATATCAGTTGGTTACAACTATTTAACAGAAGAGCATTCATTTTCCCCTATTTTGATATTCCTTGTGAAACTTTCTGAAGAAGAACCCTAAGCAGTACAGTGTTGCTTACACTACCTAGACAAACAAAAACCATAAACTATAAGAAATAATATTAATTATACTACAGAAGTGGAAGAATTCATTTTTTAAAAGTGCCTGGAGGGATGGCCATGTTAATACTGTTCATCTCGCCTCAGTGTACAATATGCTCTAATTCCCAGAAGCAGTATCTTTGGAACAAAATTGCTCCTTAGGTAATGATCCAAACTTCCTGATAACAATGATTACCATTTAATCTCTAGCCACTCTTTTTATTTAGATCTCTCACACTTATCTAAAGGAAGATTCTGTGCACACCATGCAACCCAAACCCCCTACTATTCCTTCCCCAACAATCTGTTGTCTGTTCCCCAGCACTGAGGCTCCCTCAGGTGCAGGAGTTTAGCTTTTCCTCAGGCCTAGCTAGCAGTAGCCCTCACCTGGCATACTTCAGTCCTCTTGCAGTCAATAAAAAGGCTTCCCCCTCCTTTTTTTCTTCCTCTTTTTTGTTTTTAAGGATTTCTCAGAGCATAGGCAGAGAAGCAATTTGAATACAGGTAGAAAGGTTTCAGTGACCCTGTTCTGTCAGGCTGTGGGAGATTGTGGGCTTAGGATCTACCTCCACACAGCAGAATTTGGTCCTTGGGAACAGAAGGTAAAAGAAGAACTTCCTTTGCTGGTGTTCCACTACTGAGGTGAGTGGTTTAGCCACAGAGTTATTTTTATTTAGGCATGTAATCAGGGGAATAACTATTTTGACTACATGTGTTTTGACAGGTTAGCTTGTTACTTGTAGTCTGATACTATTTTTAATTTTTCTTATAAAACCCCATGGGAAGTGTGAGGATAAATACAGGTACAGGTTTCAGATGAATAACTGTTTCAGAACTATCAGAGGCACAGAAATTCTGAAGCAAGGTATTGCCGAGGACCTGAATAGTAGTGCCTCAAGCTCTATTACTGATCCTGCCCTTTCTCATATTGGCAGAAAGAGAACTGAACCAAGTAGCAGCTAGCAGCCCCCATGGCTAGGTTTCCCTGTACACCCAGTTTCACTGACTAACTTCCTGGTGGTGTGTTAAGACAAGTATCCCCTCATTACTGACTATGTATTTCTCATTTTTGCTACAACTAAAATATCTCCAGTTGTCCTGAGAAAAGTAGTTCTGTAATTCTTGGTCGTTTCTAGGGTTCTAAGAAGTATCAATAATCTAAACTTACAAATGGAGCGTAGTAGGATTTAGGGGTAAATGAATGCACACAATTTCTAACTATATTCAAGCATTTCTGTCTGCAAGAATGGATTTGAAGTCAAATTTGACAATAGTCATGACACTATGCAAATGAAGTCAAGCCTGCTTCCATTGACTGTAGAGGAAAAGACTTAACTTGAAACTGTTTATACCAAACTTCCTACTGATCAAAAGCCCTCACAAAGCTAACATGCAATAAATAACCATTATTGTGAGAGGTGAATAACTGCCAGAAAGTAAGAAGTTTTAAGTAACATCTTGTCAATAACTGAAGGACACCTGAAAAGCCACCAGATAAAGCTCTTGATATAAACAAGGTTAGAAAAAATTCCATAAGGTAACAAAAGAGACCTGTGGTGATGAAATGGGTAATTACTGACAATGACTCAGATGCTAATGATAGAGACTGTCTCTAAGGCATAGGCACACATCTAGGCCACAATAACTTTCAGCTTCCTCTTATTGCATCAAATCAGCAGTAAAAGAGGCTCCCTAGTGATTCTTTTGCAGTAAGCAGAAAATAAGAATCTGAGGGAGAGAAGCAATTTTGGATTCGAATAAAATCTTTCACACAGAGTAAGGTGGTTGTGGGGAGGAATATGTGGACTGGATCAGACTGTAAAGTTTGTTTTTATGGTTTTAAATCAGCCTCTTAAGCAGCATTTGCACAAATTACACAAATTATCTAATGTCACCTTGGCCAGGGTAATTTTGTTCTATGCATGGGCAGGGAAGAAATCCCATATCCCGATATCATATTGTACATGCCAATGTCTCAAAACCTGACAGAGTGCTGAAGAAGAATGGAAGTAGAACTGAAGAGATTATACAAGTGGCCAGATACTTGTGATTATAAACAGAACTAGTTTTGTTTGCACTTATACTGAAATCAAGGTTACCACATGATCAAAAATAACCTTAAGAGTTCTGTGTGATAGAAGCCGAAGAACACCTTTGCTCACAGGGCATGGTAAAATCTTTGGGAACACATATATGCAGGTCGCCCATGTTAAGCAACTGGTTAATTGCTAAGTATAAAGGTCATCTGAGCTGAATATTATATTTGGGTTGTTTTCAAGTGCTGTCACTTTTCCCCTCACTTCTATTTGTGGGAAGGCAAAAATAGGAACTTGATTATACTTGGGTTTTCATCGTGATTTTATAAAGACAACAGTTCCCTGAAGCAGTGAATCACAATAGTTAATATGTTAAAGCACAAGCTGCTGCTTATTCATGCACCATGTCATAATGTAATGGTACTCTTCACCCCTTATGCAAGTAAGGAATGACTCTCTTATGGTTTTAGAGTCCCTCATCAAAATAAATGATCCCAGGGTCTGCAGAACAAATACAACTGGCATGGTCCACATCAATAAACTGTCGTTCATTATCTTTATATCATTAGGGTGAGCACCAAAACTATGCAGCCAGTGCAATCAACCATCAGTAACTACATCACTGCAAAAAACTGTTAAGAATGGAAGAGTTATTGCAAGACAGAAAAATCTTGTGAGTGATTTCAGTGCTGCACATCTTTTACTGTCATAGTTCTGACATAGGAAACCATTCAAAAGACCAATTTTGAAACTGGGAAAACATGAATTAGAACTTCAGCAGGGCTTTTATATAGATCTTGTAATTTACTTGGCTAAAATGGTAGCTCAGTTTTAAAGCTAGGAGGCTTGGATATTCTTCCTATACTGCAGCCACCTATGTTTTTCTTTGGACATGCCTGTGTGTAAGACACTTGAATTTTAGAGACTCAAACTTTCTTCAGAAGGCACAGCGCAACTTGATGCTCAGATGAAATGCTGTACTGAGCCTAAAAATGAAAGCCCCACTACAGCAGTGCTGTGCACAAGCAGTGCACTCCACAGGCACAACTAAGCTGGCTTTGGTCCCAGATTGACACTACTTGTCATCTGTGTGACTGCAGTGCCTCTGTGGTGGTTTGTCCACCCTAGGTAGTGATGTCAAAACCTTTTTATGTTATAGTACCAGATCACTGTAAGGAAGAAATCAATAACCAATGAACCACTAGTTTATCTGTCTTGTACATTTAGTAGATGGTATCACTGTAACATTCCTTTCTATAGTATCCCAAATATGATTGTATTGCTTTCTAGATAACATAGATGGAGATAAAACACTCACTGAAAACATGGGATAGCCAATGTGAAAGTGTGTGTAAGATTACCAATCACTTCATGAAATACGACAACTTTGGATGCTTTTTCAGGTAGCACAGTTACATACACTAAAGGAATATAATGAGTTTTAGATTTTAATGAGGTCTGGTTCTATATTTTACTACAATTACTGCTTGCAAGGACTCCTTTATGGCATAACATTTTTCCAGGAAGAATTGGAGCTTAATCAGCTATGTTTCAGAAGGTAGACATTTTATGGAATATCTTTTTTAAGGGACTTTAAAAATATTTCTAATTAATACTTATGTATTCTTCTTATACTGCCAATATACAGGTGCATCGAGTAAAACCAAAGTGAAGAAAATAATACAGTGCAATAAACTTAAATGAGATAAGACTAGTTTTGAAGGCTTGCTCCATTGAGGGGAAAGGGAGCAGAAAATAATATCACATCTTTGTGAGATTTGCCATGAGAACAGATTTGTAGAACTAGATATGATCTGATAATTTGGACTAAGTATAGCACAGTCTTTACCTTCACACTGTCTCTCTAGACAATGTTGCTATAAATAATAAAGACTAAATATATTTCATTTCATCCTTAGATGCCGACACTAAGATCCTGACTCACTGATGACCAAAGTTTTGTTAGCGACTGTAACAGAGACAGTAGTTTTAAGATCAAAATCTTCTGTTCAAAGTAAGTTTCTGTTCAAAGTTCCAAGACAATTGGCTGACACTTGCTGAAATGTATAAGCAAGAGCACTTTACCAGGAAAATCCTCAATCCATTTTAAAACTTGCCATAAATCTGTTTTCTAGATAGATTTTGAACTGTACTAGCTGTAGTTATGTCAAACTAATGTTAGACTATACTCTCTAAATATCAACAGAACTTTACAAGGTATTTAATTTTCAATGTTAAGTGGGACTTTGTGAGCTATGGCCTGCAAAGATTATGCTGTGAGTTGTTAAGAGTGGGGAGGGTTGGTACTTTGTTGGGGGGGGTTTGGTTTCAGGGGGGTTTTTTTTTGGAGTCAGCCTGTGCTCCTGTGATCAAGAATGCTGGCTATATCTTTAGGAAGACATTTTCAACTAATTGTCTCAGAATACAGTGACAGAGGCTCTGCTTTGGTTGTGCGCTTTGGTACAGCCGAGAAATCAGGAAAAAAATTGCACCATTTAAAATTGACAGGAACGGGAATGTGAAAAGCATCTGAACTAACACACTTGTGTGGTTGTGTTGCCTCTGCCTAGTCTATGTCTCTTTTTATTGTCTCCCTATTAGGCTTCAAGCAACTGGGGAGACAGGTTATTTATGAATTAAAGAATTAGGACCTTTCATCTTTTGGTTAAGGTACAGATTCAGCCCACATAATCCTGAATGGTCCTTTGGTGATGGAGGGCATATGAAGTGCATTTGGTGGAACAAGTTGCCTGTGCTGGCTGTCATGGGTGCCTTTAATTGGTCCCTTAATATACTATCAAAAGTGTCATGAAATGACTCTCTTGTTACCAGCCTTAAAGCAGAGGTGAGTTTACACAGGGACCAAACAATTCTCTTTAACTTAACAGGATAGGAATCTTGTAAATCAAACTGACGCACAAGAGAAAGCTTGTAATGCACCTCTCTCTCACAGGAGACTTTTACCATAGCTCTTTCCTTAGGGCAGTAAACTTTGCCTTTCATAAATACTAAATTCATTCTTGAAATTATTAGAGAGCTATTTTCATGTGGGGTAGTTGTTTTTTTTTTTTTTTTGGTTTGTTGTTTCTGGAAGTTGATTTGTTGTTTTCAGGAAGTTGTTCCTGGCCTGAAACCTTACAAGCCAAGGTTCAGTTCAAAACATGTTTTATGGTCGAGTTATTGCAGACCATTTAAATTAAGGGTTTTTAATGGAATTGCTGACACAGCCTTAACTCTAGCTGTTTGAATGGCACCACTTTAATTATATGAGATTTTAATGATTTCAGCTGCAGCTGAACTGACAAACAGCATAACCAAATAAACATCAGCATTTATACAGGCTATGAGTGAGGCAAAACATAGTAGCAGACTTGGGTAAATACACTCATAAGAACCTGATAAAAATTTTGATAGGAAAAAATAATCAAGAATATTTCAGGCTATAAATATATACCACCTTAATTTCCTTTTAGAGTGAAACAGAATAGTCACGATGCAATTACAGAGTCCTCCTCTCCTTTTATATAAAAAGCATGCGAGACCATCCAGGATGTGTTAAACTACAGACAAGTGACTCATCAATAAGATAAAAATAGATTTAAACTG